CCTAATCCTGTTAATTTCAGTGTGCTGCATCAAGATTAAGTTGATTTAAAATTGTCTTAACGTCAGTGTGGGAAATTGGTTATCGATCTCTTCAGGAATCAAGTGCAAGTTGAGGAAAATAGTAGTGTTTGATACTCTTAAAATGAGGAGAGAAACTATAGCATGAGTTATAAGTAGGCAACCTGTGAAATTCAGAACTACTGACAGAACGATGGGTGGGAAACTCTTAGCCAGTCTGGTCAGTGATGAAGTGATGAAATTGCCAGAGGTTCCTCATTTCTGCCTTACGTTTTTGTGGATGAATATCTATTTTGTCAGACACATGATTTGAATTACAAAAATATCTACAATATAGTGTTACAGTTGTTCCAGAAATAAGTGAGATGCTTATAGTATTTTATTTATTCCTTTATTTAATGGACAAAATTTGTATGCTGCCTCATCAAATAACACTAGTCAACTTACAACAACAAAACAGAGATACACTTTGCTTTCTTATTTTAGCCATTTTCCCCCCCTCTTCAGTTACCCTCCTCTAGAAAACAGTGGTTTAATTGTAGATCTCATCGTAAGCTAGTTTTGGGGAAGAATGTGTTTCTAGAACCAGTAGGGCTCTGCCATACCCCTGAAATGACACATATTGGGGGATTCTGATGTTTAGATTTATACTTATGATGCTTTTTTGGCTTAAAAAGGCCAAATAAATGTTATCTTCCCTCAGTAGTAAAGTCTAGTGTGGTAGGCTTTCCTCAGTAGTGAAGTCTAGTTCCTCTGGCCTGATTTACTTTTTCCATGATAGCCATTCAAGAAATTATAAGTGCTTTTCCCAATTGGATCCAATCCAGTGGAAATTTATTTTAAGTACACTGAGGATTGCAGTATAACAGGTAAAGGAATTGTATTGAGGTCTAGGCTTGTCAGTTCAACTCAATGCATGTTATCTACCTCTTTATACATTGTTTAAATACTCCATTGGGGTGTATTCTCAATCTAACTTAATAGAAAATTATCCTTTTGTTGTCTTAAACTTCTACTTGTATTCTCAGCCAGGATTTAAAAAAAAGGACAGGGATTTTCTTCTCTTTCAGTACCTGTTTTTTCTCTTTGCATAAGAAATAAAATTAACTGTCCTGAAATAAAAATAAATCCTAGTTCAATTAATATAAGAGCTCTGTAAATATGCATGCTGAAAAATGAAATGAGAATATGAACACACACACACACACATTAAATTGAGTAGTGAATAATTATTTCAGATTAATTAGATTATCATTTTTGGGTGATCTTTATATGATCTAAAGTGTGATGAATCTCTGGAAAAAAAATAGAGCTGGTTTCTCTTCAGGTCTGTTTTTGGTTCACTTCTTGCCTCTTCGAATTCAGGGAATAGTCAGGTTTATTTATTTTCCAGAAGTCTGGACTGATACTGGAGAAATGATATGAAGATATATAACTGGGACAAGTGGGGGTTAACTTGTTAAATTGCTCTCCCCCTTGGTTGAACTAAGAAACAAAGTTTTCAGCAAAATTTGATGACTATGAACCGAAATTTCTGTGGCATTATTCAACTTTGATCCTTAAACAGGATTTATATCTGAATAGGTGTATTATTTCCAAAACTTTTTGTAGATGCAAATTTGTTTAGATCACTACATAGTAACCTACCTGTTTTACACTTCTGGAGCAAAGCAGAAAAAATTATCTTTTTGGTGTCTGGTTAGGAATTATTAACCATTGTCCCTTTTCTTGGGAAAAGGAATGAAATGCTATAAGGAAGGGGAAAAGAAGTGATACAATTCAAGAAATGTGGAACTCTGCTCAAATGAATAAGAATTTGATCCACTGTATTCTTCCTTATGACTGTTACTGTGAATTGTCCTACTAATTTCATTAGATGCTAATATAAAAAATAAAATTTAAATGGCAGGTTTCTTGACAGCTAATTCCACTAAAATACTGTTCACATTGTATTATTATGGATGTGCACCTGGATTCTGGTGTTTAAGAATTACTCTTCAAATCATTGCTAACAAATGTCATCTCTCATTTATGATATTAATTTTCTTTATTATTTATAGCATCAACATTTTAAGAATTCCTTTGGAAATATTCCTTGGAGTTATATTTATAGTTTTGTATCTTTTGTACTGAACAGTTCCTCAGCTGATTGCAATAAGAAATATAATTGCATAATCTATGTGGATTAGACGAGAAAACTAAAGTGACTTGAATATGAAAATGTGAAGACTGAATTCTGTATTGAAGCACAGGCAGTTGCTAAACTGAGGGCCTTCTGAGCTAAGTGGAGGAACTTTGAAATCTAAGACAAACTTTAATTTTTTTTTAAATAGTTTTATTCCATCAAACTAATTAACCAAACATTGCATATATAAACAGGATTATAATAAAACAATTGGAATTTTATCTTATGAACAGAACAATTAACTGAATTGCTAAAAAGCCATCCTTCGTTGTGCCATTGTTTAAAAAAACAAAATGTTCACAAATTATATGTATCAGCAATTCCTTGACCCAGGTTCAAGTGCATTCTCAGCCATGGAAATGTACTGGATGATTTTCACCAGTAGCTTTCTCAACCCAATCTTCCTAACAGGTTTGTTGTTACAGGCAAAAATGGGGAAGAAATTCTATGCATGCCTCCTTGAGCTCTTGAATAAAAAGAAGAATATAAATCTAGCAAATAAATAGATTTTTCTTTCTAATATCATTTAATCATTCTTCTGGCTGATTCCCAGTGTGTTTTGATGACTTAAGAGATTCCAAATGCTGGGGATGTATCAAGCTGCCCTGCGAGACTAGGAAGAGGCATAGCTTTTTTAAAATGCTGTGACAAATGCAGTGAATACAGCCATGCTAGATATGAAGCACCTTTCCTACTTCAGTTCTGAATACCTGTACATCCCTACTAATAGATATAGAGCTTCAGAGATAGCTTTAAAAATGTTCAATAATAAGCCTGATAGTGTGGAAAATTAAATTGCTTTTCCCAGCACATAATTGTAATTTACACCATGAAAAGCTTGAGGGATAAGAAAAAAATGGTAACCTATGTATTTGAAAAATAAAGGAATAAAAATAAGGAAACCTTGAAGTTAAATTCAACTAGATTATAGTTATACAAATATCAGATAAATTCTAGACCCTCAGTTTAAATATTACATTTGTGTCATTGAAGGGATGTGGAAATCAGAGCGAGAAAAGAT